ACATACATACATACATACATACATACATACATACATACATACATACATAAATAAAGAAAATATATTTCATCAGAGTACAGCAACTACTAAACATATCCTGAAAAGAACTGAAATGGCTCTACTCAGGAACAAGCTCCACAGAAAGAGATTCCAACTCAATCAGCTAAACAAAGATCTTCTAATTCTACACCTGGAATTGAGCAACAAAATCCACCCTCTACTTTGGGACAAGATAAAACAACTTACAACTTGGAGAGCTGAAACTGAATTCGAATCCAGAGCTGTAGCTAATGCCACCCACAAACCCAAACTATGGTTAAGATACATCGATGACACATTCGTGATTTGGCCCCATGGAAAAGAAAACCTAAACAATTTCCTAACACACCTAAACAGCACACACCCCAAAATCAAATTCACCATGGAAACGGAAACAAACAAACAACTACCATTCCTAGATGTACTAATCTACAAAAAAACAGATGGCACACTAGGACACACCGTATACCAGAAGAAAACACACACCAACTGCTACCTCAACGCCCAATCCCACCACCACCCAGCACAGATAAACTCCATGGCCAAAACACTAATTGCCAGAACCAAACGCCTGGCAGACGAGACACACATGAAGACTGAACTATGGACCCTGACTAAAATACTAACAGCCAACGGCTTCCACAAAAGCAAAATCACCGGCTTGATCCACAAAAACACACTGAGACATAATGGAGACCTAGAAGATGAACAGACCTATGGAACAGCTGTCCTGCCCCTACATAAGAGGTACTACAGACAAAATCAGTAAGATACTACACAGGCATCACATCAAGACTGCCTTCAAAACAGACAGAAAAATAGCAGCCATCCTAAGAAACCCCAAAGATAAAATTGACCTGGAAAACCAAGGCATATACGAAGTCCCCTGTGCATCATGCCCTGCCACATACATTGGACAGACCAATAGAAGAATAAGTACCCGCCTGGATGAACACAAAAATGAAGTAAAAAAGCTGGAACACACTTCCTCACTAGTCCAACACATGAAAGCCACAGGTCATAGCATCGACTTCAATGGCACCAAAACCTTAGCCACTATATAAAACCCCAGCTACAGAATTACCAGAGAAGCTATAGAGATTGAAAAAACACCTGAAAGCATAAATAGAAGAGATGATTCCACCAGACTGTCAGTTATTTGGAAGCCTGCACTCAACAAACAAAAAAATCTCCACATCACAAGCCAGGCAAACACCTGGGCACAAACAGACTCCTCCTGATACCTCCAGCTCAAACACACCCCAACCAGGCACCCAGATGAAACCTAGCTTCCTAATAAATGATAGCCGTCCATTTACTCGGCGGCAAGCAGCACTAAAAGCCTCCAATACAGGAAACACAATGTTGCCAGCCAATCAAGACAAAAAAGCTACAAAACAGACAGAAGATATTAGAAACACCAATCAAGCAGAACACAGCAAACTCCAAGACCAATACACACAGACCAAGACTCCCAACCAATCAGGATGAAGAAAAAATCATTCTGGCACAGCAGTAGGCTAGCCCCAAATTTAAAACAGAAACGGCTGTAAGAGTCTGACTCACAGACGAACACAATACAGAAGCCTGATGATAGCAGATGATATTCTGCTAAAACGTTGCTACAACTTTAAAAGCACAACTATAATGACGTGGGAAAATACCCGAACAAAGCTGAATACCATAAATGTATAACATATATACATTTTGCAGCAGGTATTGAGCATTGGTTATATTTTTCTTTTTCTTTTTTTACTCCATAACATTGACGTGATCTACCTTGTTACAACACCTTCCTCGTTCTTTTAATGTTTTAATTTCACAGAATACTTTATAATTAAATGCATGTCCTTCAAAATTTCATAACTTATTCAGTTATCAAATGTTGCTTTTTCTTTAACCATTCATACCAACAGTTCCAAACCTTGTAGTATTCACTATCTTTGTTGTTTTTTAGTAATTTGGTTAGGCTGTCCATCTCTGCACACTCGTGAATTTTTTTAATGACCATCTCCTCTGAAGGGACAATAGACAGTTTCCAATTTTGAGCATAACTTATTCTGGCTGCCGTTATAATGTGCAAGATTAAATATTGATATTTTTTCTATTTTTGAGTCTATCATACCCAGCAAAAAGATTTCAGGTTCAAGTTTTACTTCCTGTTTAGTTATATTTAGAATCCAAGTTTTGATATTTTTCCAAAACTTCTGAGCATATGGACATGTCCACCACATATGGAAGTATGTTCCCTGGGCGCAGTTACACTTCCAGCAGTTTGGGGGGAGGTTCGGGAACATCTTAGCCAGTCTCGCGGGTGGCAAGTGCCAATGATACACCATTTTATAGAGATTCTCTTTGTACAAGGCTGACATAGTTTGTAATTTATTTCCCAAATATGTTCCCACTTGTCTAATTTAATACTGTGGCCCATATTTTTTGCCCAAATTATCATACACTCCTTGACTGTTTCTTCTTTTAATTTATAATCCAAGAGATATTTATATATTTTACTAATCAACTTCCTTTCCTCTCCATGCCAAATTTTATCTAATTCTTGGTAGGTCATGTTAAAACCAAATTGTTCTTTATCTTTTTTGTAATGCGATTGTATCTGCGCATAGGGCCACCATGCTATCTTTTTTCCTTGAATTTGTATTTGATTCCTACCCTTTAACTCTCCGGTTTGGTGTAATAGATCTTTATATCTTACAATATTATCAAAATCTAAAACATTTGGATGTGTAACTGCCTCCATTGTAGATAACCACAGTGGGACCTTACAGTAATGTACTTTTTTAATCTTTTCCCAAATATTTAGTAACACACTCCTTATATAATGCCTTTGAAAGTACAAGTGGTGTTTACTCTTTCCATCCCACATAAATGCGTGCCATCCAAGTTGGAGATCAAAGCCCTCTAATGTTAAGATCCTTTTATTTATCAAATTAACCCAGTCTTTAAGCCAGGTTGCTATCGCAGCATAGTAGTATGTTTCAAAATCTGGAAGACCAAAGCCTCCTTTCTTTCTATCATTCTGTAATAATTTATGTTTTATTCTGGGTTTTTCCCTTGCCATATAAATTTGGATATATGTTTATTTAGTTCTTGAAAAAAGCTTTTTTTCCAACTTGATTGGCACCGTCTGAAATAAGAACAACAATTTTGGCAAAGTATTCATTTTTACTATTGCAATATGGCCTAATAGAGATATTTGTAATTTAGCCCAATTATCTAAGTCTTTAAATATTTGAATTGTTAATTTATCGTAATTATCTTTTTTAATTGATGAGCACCTAGCTGTCAGCCATATCCCCAGATATTTTACTTTATGTACCACCTGTATCCCTAACCTCTTTGTTAGTTCTTCCTTTTGTTCATTTGTACAGTTTTCTGTTATCACTTTTGTTTTTTCTTTATTAATTTTTAACCCTGCCACATTTCCATATTGTTCTATTTCTTTCATCAAAATAGGTGTCGTTTCCAGGGGATCTTCCACTATAAAGGCCATATCGTCAGCAAATGCTTGAAGTTTGTACTCCTCTTTGTTAACTTTTAACCCGCTGATCTCTTGATTTTGTCGGATATGTACCAGTATTTTGTTGGATATGTACCATATATAAAGTAGGGGAGCCAAGGGGCATCCTTGTCTTACACCCTTATTCATCCTTATATTATCTGTGTTTTCCCCGTTTATTAATATTTTTGCAGTTTGGGTATTATACAGTATATTGTTTTAATGAATCCTAAAAAAAATTCGCCAAATTTCATGCCTGTCAGTTGTTTAATAAGAAAATTCAAATTCAAATTGTCAAATGCCTTCTGAGTGTCTAAAAACATCAGTGCCATTGTTTTAATTGTGTACTTCATAGAATTTTAAAACATCCATAATTATTCTTGTATTTGTC